ACACTCCGCGACCCTGCTTCATTGGGAATCCTCGCCTACCCTGTGGATACCTATATAAGGAGGCTCGCATTTCTGGTAGAGACCTCAGACTCCTATGAGCCTGCCAGAGCTCACCCATATAATAAAGGTTTTTTTCTCCAACTCCTCTACTGACCATCCAATTCTTATCTTGAAATTATAAGAGCTGTGTTCCAGAACTGTCACACTGAGCTGTAAAGCTCAGCTGGGCCTCAGAGCTGTGGCAGACTGCTACAATGAGTTGTGACACTCAGCTGTGCCTCAGAGCTGTGGTGCTTAGCTTTGACACTGAGCTGTAACACTTGGCTGTAGTAATGAGCTGCTCTGCTCTGCAGCAACACCACCACCAAACATCACAGCACGTCTTGCATCAAAATCTCAGGGATTTGTCAGTGATGAATGAATTTATATATGTGGGGGAATCAGTAGGAAGCAGAGCACAGGGCTTGCTGCACTGTGCATCCCCAGGTCTCAACAGGGCTGTCCCCTCAAGGCCCTCAGGTTGTTCTTCTATTGTGGCCTTTTCAGCCAGGACTCTGGGCAAAACTATCAGAAGATGAAAATCCTGCACTCACCCCACATAGTTCCCTTCCCCTGTTTTGTCTACTGCATAGCAGAGATATCCATCAGGATGTTGGTATCTTACTTATCTTTTATTAAATTTATCTTATCAATTCTATTTTCTGTTCCCCTACCATGAATGAGAGCTCTATGTATGCAGGGAGGTTTTGTTGGCTTTTTTGGTTTTGTTTTGTTTTACCTTTTTTGCCTTTTTCTGACATTAAGACCATATCTCACAGATAGTAGGTGTTCAGCAAACGTTTGTTGAGGGAACTAATGAAGGTCACCTTTGGCCCAAAACCAACTGGGTATGACATTCCCAGCTATGACATTATTTGTGGTACAGTGTGCTTTTTTCAGAATTTCCTTCTACATATTTACACTCTAATATAGGTCTCCAATAAAAATGAATAACTTCCCTCTCAAGTAATGTGTTAAATATTTCTATAGCACTTAAAACCAAAAGTATCCCCAGTCCGGCATGAACACACAACTAGCTACAGCTCTAAATGTGACTATAGTCAACTCTTTTAGCATTAGTATTGTCACTCATAATTTTCTGTAATGTTCTTAGATTATAAAATAATTGTACTCATTCTAATAAAACAGAACAGTATATGGAAAATTCTATGTCACCACCAACCAGCTTCAACAATACTTCATAAATCACCAATTGTTTTTTATATGTGTGGGAGGGGTTGTCCGGTTCATTTGGGTTTTTCTTTGTTTTGTTTTTATTTATTTTTGTTTGTTTAGTTTTGGTGGTGCTGCTGGGATTGAACCTGGGTCGCTGAACATGTTAGGCAAACCTTCAGCCACTAAGCCATACCCCAAGCCAATGATGGTGAACCTTTTACAACTTTTAATATACAAAGAGCCCACTAGAGCACGTACTCCAGAGGTTCAACATCAGTGGTGAGGCCCTTATTTGCTTTGCATAATTATTTTATTTTATATTATTGGTACATGTTTGTAGTACATGAATTTTACAATCATCTTGGGCAGTGGGTACATTTATGCAGCACAACTTGCTGCCTTTTTAAAATCCTCTTCCCCACATCTCTTCACTCCTCTAATTGTCTCCCCATTTCCATTTCTATTGATATGAGTCATCTTAGCTCATGTTTTTGGCATAGAATGTTTACATTCATTGAAGTTATTAGGTTCCTGT